TTTTATTATAGCTCTTTTATCCAAAGCGCTTTACAATAGTTAGCTAACGGTACAAACAACATTTGGAAGGATTATTAAGTAGTCCGCCGAGACCGTCAGCTAATTTTCAAGTGGTCCACCAAAAAAAAAAGTTTGAGAACCACTGGTCTAAGGGGCAGGACTTTCTCTCATTGTAGAATGTTTGTGAGTAAACCACAGATTCTCTGTGCTTGAGCTCCATCTTGGTCATACAGATTCCTTTTGTCTGCCTGTGACAGCTCAACCTACAATCATTGTTTCCCCAGGGCCTATTGTGTTGTTTCTGTGGGGCTTCCCAAGATGCATATATTTTACTATCTTTTAGTTTATCTTTGACTTCACAGATAATGCTTTCCAAGATGACAATTTCTGCCATGCAGTTCTACCATTTTATCTATGTAATCTCCTAAAGTATCTTAGTTTGGTTGGTTCTACCGTGTGTCTGGAATCCACATTAGCACCTTTCTGGGGAAATATGACTAAACATAGTTCTGTTAGAAATAGCTTTCTTGCCCTGACAATGCTACAGATAAGCACATCAAGATTTGTTTCATCCCCATTTTTATCTATTCATTTACTAGTTAGGGATACGTTTTCCATCCTTACTCTAAATCCTCAAAATAGGGTTTAATGGGACTAAAGCAGTGCTATGCTAACCCTCTGCGCAGGGTGATTCTCCCCCTCACCCCTCCCATTCAGAAGTACCGTACCATACTCTGCAATTAGTTTAACTGATTTTGATAGGATGATTTACAAAATAAGGTACTACTTAGCATGAGTAAAGCTGGCAGAACCTGATATTATAATCTTTTTGAGGCAGGAACCCATCTCTTTACGTGTAAAGAAACACACACATCTCGGTGCCATACAAGTAAATATGAATAATTGGTAACACCAACTCTTTAACTGACCTGGAGACTGAACTATCCTGTCTCGCTTAGAGGTGATCCCACCAGGTCAACAATGAGACTAGTTTAGGCTCAAACAAAATGTATATGAACCAAAAAAAAAAAAAGTATGAGACCAAAAAAATTCCCCAATGGTAAACAGCAGAGTAAAAGAGGTGGTTAGAGGTGAAAAGGCATCCTTAAAAAATTGGAAATCAAATCTTAGTGAGGAAAATAGAAAGGAGCACAAACTCTGGCAAGTCAAGTGTAAAAGCATAATTAGACAGGGCAAGACAGACTTTGAGGCGCAACTAGCTAAAGACAGAAAAACAACAGCAAAATTTTTTTTAAGTACATCAGAAGCAGGAATCCTGCCAAATAATCAGTTGTGCCACTAAGCGAGTGAGTTGCTAAAAGAACACTCAAGGAAGACAAGGCTGTCATGGAGAAGCTAAATAAATTCTTCGCATCGATCTTCACTGCAGAGAATGTGGAGGAGATCCCCACATCTGAGCCACTCTTTTTAGGTGACAAATCTGAGGAACTGTCTCTGACTGAGGTGTCAGTATAGGAGGTTTTGGAACAAACTGATAAATTAACCAGTAATAAATCACCAGGACAAGGTGGTATTCACCCAAGAATTTTTGAAGGGACTCAAATATGAAATTTCAGAATTACTAACTATGGTATGTAATCTATCGCTTAAATCAGGCTCTGTACCAGATGACTGGAGGATAGCTAACATAATGCAGATTTTATAAAAGGCTCCAATGGTGACCCTGGCTTTTACAGGCCGGTAAGCCTCACTTCAGCATCAATCAAATTGGTTGAAACTAGTATAGTAAAAAATAGAATTATCAGACACATAAAAACAATATCTTGTGGAGGAGTCAACACAGCTTTCGTAAAGGGAAATAACATCTCACCAATCTATTACAATTCTTTGAGAGTGTCAACAAACATGTGGACAAGGGTGATCCAATCAATACAGTGACTTTCACAAAGCCTTTGACCAGGTCCCTCACCAAAGGCTCTTAAGCACACTAAGCAGTCATGGAATAAGAGAGGGAAGATCCTCTCATGGATCAGTAATTGATTAAAAGCTAGAAAATAATGTATAGAAATAAATGGTCAGTTTTCACAATGGAGAGAGGTCAATGGCAGAATCCCCACAAGGATCTGAACTGGGAGCAGTGATGCTCAACATGTTCATTAATGATCTGGAAAAGGAGTGAACAGTGAGGTGGCAAAATTTGCAGATAATGCAAAATTACTCAAAGTTAAGTCCAAAGCTGACTGCAAAG